GCAGCGCACGACACCGCATACGCTTGGTGGACAAGCGTGAGTGGGAAAGAATTTGTACACTGGTACGAACAGGCCAAAGCCGCCTTCAAAAGCGGCAAGGTACACAGAACCCTTCGCAATATAGCGAAGGAAACCGAGAAATACTTCTTGGGACTCCTGAGTATTGCAAGACTTGCGGAGGAGTATAATTCCCTGGAGAATAAGGGAAAAATTCCTGGGAAAGTCTAGGCAAAGCCACCTATCTAAAGTCCCAGTTCAAACCACTCAGGACTCCTGAGGAACGTGCTGCAAGAACTGCAGAATGGGAAGCGACAGCTTCCAAATACCGGGAAAGAGATGCAAGTCTCTGCGCTGGACAACCAGCCCAACGACCACCCTTCCCCATGGGAAGAACGGTAGACCTACCGTACTCCACACCTGAGCCAAGTAGCTCAGGAACACAACAACCCACTCCCACCCAGGGAGCACCCACTTCGTCGAGCCCACAGCCTGACAATGTAGCCCAGGCTACGTCATCGCATCCGATGCAGCAATCGGATGTCCAGATGAACAATCCGGAGGAAAACCCTCCTCTGGGGCAATGACTCCACCCTTGAGAAAAGGGAAAGTGACACGGTAATATGCCATCGAGGTGCCCGTGAAAATACCTTCCCCCAACTTGAGGCCCCACACACAATACTGTATGCGAGGAACCGCAAGTAACAATTGCGGAAATCTCCACTCCGCCAAAAGACCCACATCCACCACCACTCGTGTATAAACACCACTTACACATGAACCCTCACGGAACAAGTGAGGAACACCAAAGACATACAACCTTTGGGTCGAAATTCATTTTCGACAAACTCCACTATTTTTCTCCCTGCGATACCCATATATCGCCGTTCACTTCAAAGTAACGGCCCACACTCATTTATTCCTTAAACCCTCTCTCTCTCCTTCACCGACATGTATAAAATGCCCACTTTAAAGTGGCGACAACAAAACACTCATTGATAATTCCAAACTCAATGTAAACCAACTATTAAAACTTTGTTTTATCCTATCAACCTTGTATGCATCGCAAATGCAATGCAAGGGGGGAGAATGTCAGGGCAATAACCCCGAACCCGAGTCACATGTAAATTAGACACATATAGTCATGTGGGTAAGTGGGAACCTCTGGGGAACTGCTTACACACCACCGTAAAATACACATACTGTATCACTTACAGCCTTGTGTGCTGAGCTACCCAAAGACCTCACAGATCCCGAGGGTGTATGCTGCACATGTGCATACTGGGTTGTGCCCTGAGGCCGTCTGGGGCTGGGTCTGTTGTGTGCATGTTGCCAGCAGGTCAATAGTACATGGATATAAAGGAAAGTCATCCATGTAAGATAGAAATAGAGATAGGAATAGAAATAGAAATAGAAATAGAAACAGAGGAGAAGATGAAGAGAAGGAGGAGCAGGAAAGGAGAACATGAAATAAAGAAAGGGGAGAGAGGGGGCATTGGGTGGTTGTTGTAACTCAGGTTATGGCACCTCTGAGATGAACTGTAATGTTTATACAAGAGTAGAAACAGATAGAGTTCATCTCTGCAGTCATGTGACACATAAAAAGAAAAGGAAAGGAAATCAAACAAGAGGTAGATGTACTACAACAGTGTACTGGGTGTGGTGGGGCAGGTGTGCCCTGACAGTATAAGACCATTCGTTTGGGGAATGGTCTGTGTTCATGTCAATGGGTACTTGGTGCTCGTATGAGCGTACCAGTGACAAGGGGGGTAGTCATTCATAGGTCGAATGACATGTTGTGGGATTGGCAGCTACTTGGCACTCGCAAGAGCATACCGGCAATGAGGGGAACAGGCTTGTATCAAGTACTAATCTGTCTATAGAGTTAACCGGATTCTCACCATGTGGTGAGACAGACGAGAGCCCGGTACCTGGGCAAGCGACGTGAGTCATAACAGAAGATGTTCATGCATACCTGAGTTGAGTTGCACGTGAACTTGATGATCCATGGCTAGAGTCATCAACCTCGGTAGGGATGACCCTTATAGGTGGTGTTCGAGACATATACAACCTTACACAGATGTTACAATGTTGGCACAAGGAGGTTTAGAGTTGTTGCACAGAAGGTGGGAGTGTGTTATTCGTTAAGTTCCATCTTTCTTGGCTGTAGCCGTACATGAATGTGACACTAACTATCGAATATGAATGATCACAAGAAGTCTTGTGAAATGGAATAAATAATCCAGCCAGCACCAAAACCCAATAAGGGAAAGCTTAGTGTGGAGTGAGTGTATAAGAAAGGGGGGAATGGGAGAATGTAAGAAAGAGATGGGAGGATGTGGACAAGGAGGTCCCGCTGTGGTTGATGTTCAGTCGACATGGTCACAAGAGACTCCATTCCTATAACAGTTCTCCATGCTTTGTTTTGACCGGAGTCTTCCTTATTGGACAGAAATTAGTCTTTGTGATCTCCCAAAGTGTGGATCTTGGTTCTGATGGCCAGTTCCCTTTGCATTGCCACCCTCACGTGTCTTTAAGCATAGTGTGGAATACTCTATTCCCATTGCTGGTGTAACTTCACAACGGCTGGGCTGTTTGGCCTGAAACTTTGCATAGTGGTAGTTTCTAATTGATTATATTTTCCATGTAAATTTGGTCATGTGTTTTAAATATGGATTTTGTGTGAACATCGACTTTTCCCTGAGGTATGACTTTAATGTCGCTCATCCCATTACTGTCATATCCATCCATGGCCATCGACTTCCACTACCTCCAATCTCTCTGGACTACCTCCGCTCCTTCTTCACTAACCTTGGAGCTCCCATATTCCGCAATCACCTCCGCTTCCCTCGATGGTCACCACCCCCTCTTTTCAATATATTACCTACGCCTCCCTAAGTACGGAGCCCTGAAGGCTTCTGGACAGCTCCGACATCCACCAGTGCACCCCGCCTCCACTGGGCAATACATTTGCTTGCCCTGCAAGCCCTCCTTCAGGCCTATCCCTCCTTTCCGTTTCTGGGTTATCACCTACCATTCCGCTAACCCCATAACCTGACTTGTCAGTAATATTCAACCAGCTAATGTTTAACCCCGTTAGCTCTGCTCCACTCGGCCCCATCGATTACAGGCCTGCCCCTGCTGTAACTATATATACTTGACTTGTAAATAGGTTACACCTCAGTAATAAAATCAACTAGAGTTGACCCCCTTTAGTTCTGGTTGCCAGTTAGTAAGTTAGGGCATGGACGTGTTACTTGGCACAGCGCTCCTGGCATAAGTCGCTGAGGCCAAAGCCCTCTGCCATGGAGACATTCCTTCGTCTCGATCTGGTCTCTGACAATTACTAAATATCTCATTGATGCGTGAATCTTTTATTATGAAAATTTGCGTGGATTAAGAATAGATCCCTTCCTTTCTAATGGACTATAAAACTCGTCTCAGTCGTTACTGGTTGTTCTTCGTGCTTTCCTTTTGAACATTGTCCTCGTTTCCTGCAAATTTTGGCCATTTCTCCATCATCTATCAGTAGTTTTCCCTGAAATTACCTTCTATCTGAGAGGCATCTACATAAACACAACTTTGAGTTTTTCATTGGTTCTTATGGAATCCTTGTTCTGTGGTACTTCCAGCTTCAGCTATGTTGTAATGGGTCTATCACCACTAGACTCGAGCCAGAAGAGAGGGGTGTCAGGGACCGACCCGGGGTCAAGAGCATCCGGGTATATTGCCCAGGGCTGAGGGCCCAGTAGGGTGCGGTGCGGGCATCCATAACAACGGGCCTGAAGCAGGCAAGGGTCTGTGGCCACTTAGACTAAAGTGGGAAGTGTGAGAAGAAGGTTGCTTCTCAGTTCCCACTTAGGCTGTGTTTATGTACATGCAGTTGGAGGTCACGTGGGGAGCGCCACGTCATCTATGCGCACAGCCGTGTCTGCCTGGGTATCTCCATAAGAGGTCTCAGGTGCGTCTGGTGTGTAGGGCATCACCTGGTGTGTCCGGGTCTGGGCGTGTTGCACAGCCTGGTCAATGGTACATCGAGCAAGGAAGTCATCTGTGTAGTAGAAAAGGAAAGAAGGAGAAAGAAAGGAAAGAAGAAGGAGAAAGAAAAGGGAAAGGGAGAAGGAGAGAAAGGAGGAGGGAGGATGGGGGCAGCGGGTGAGGATAGTGGGATCGGGTGGGGTCGGACTGGGTGGAGTGGGGTCAGGCGGGTGTGCCCTGACAAGGGGAACATCAGGCTCTAGTGACTGGAAATGGAATCAGAAAAATCAGGAAAGATAGGAAATATGTGGGAGGGAACATTGGCTAAGGGTGGTAGAATCGCAGGATTTGGCTTGTTTATGATACACCAGCAAATCCCTGTTACAACATGTGTGGGCATGGGAAAGTAGTTTCCGTGGAGGTTTTCTGGTTGATTTTATAGTCAAATCTTACTCGATTGACCTACATAGTTCTTTGTTTGATATTCGCTATAAATTCTCCCGGGCATTCCGTCTTGTTGATGCTAAGCTTGAAGCATTTTTATTAATTTTTTATCTTCCTATTTGCTGCATGTAGTTGTAATAATTTGTAATAATTCATGAAAATTTGTTAAAATTCAGGTTCTTCTATCTTCTCATTTCTACTTGTCATATGGGGGTGTTCGTGATTTTTCTGGCATATTTCCATAACGAGTTTTCATAGGGTGACCGTTATTTCTCCTACACCAGCTTGTTACTTTTATAATTGAGAACACCAATATCCACCTGAAGCTCTTTGGGGACTCAACAAAGGTGGCCACTTCCAAAGATAGGCCCAAGGTATGTGAAAATTTGCCTTTCCCCCACTCCTCTATGCACTGACAAGGCCCATAATAATAAATAAGGTATCTAATCATCATACTAAGAAGTTCTATCATGAGCAAATTGCAGTGGCAATTTGGGATGTAGAGGGTGAACCTGAGCGTGAATTCTATCGGAATAACAAGCCCAAGTACACCCAAGCAATCAATTCCCACATTGACAAGTATGTCTACTGTACAACCTCATCTGCATCCCATTCTCATATTGCCTTGTCTTCATAAGGATTATAAAAAGCATGCTAGAACTCTCAGTCAAACCGGGATTGGCCTCGATAAACATGAGATCACCCTAGGTTTGGAAATAATAATCAAATTGGTGAGCTACACTTTCAGTTATCTTTTCCAGTATTTTATCTTGTGAACATAGATGCCATTCTGGAGGAATTCCCATGGTGGCATGATCTGAACCCAATTTGGTGTGTGTGCTAACCACAAGCAACTCCACTGCAGATGGTCAGGAGCTGGCAACTCAGTTAGATGAGTTACTTGAAAATAATCAAAAAGGTGGAGTCATGGGAGAGGAGGGTGATTCTGAGGATAGGTCCCCACTTCTGGTATGCATGGTTTATTACTCATGTGCTCATTTATTCAAATGTGTTACATAGGAACCACCTCTCGAGACCAGTGGTGACTCTACCCCACTATTTGGTTCATCACAACTGCCATCTTCACCGCTTAACCTGTTCATGGATTTAGATGAACCTAAACCCACATTATCCCAGCCACTACATCAAGCATGTTAATGCCATCCTCTCAAGTTGCTAGTGTTGATGTGGCAGCCCGATGCCACATGAGGACAAAGGGGAGGCAGAGCTGCAGGCAAAGCGTTGCTGTGTGGCAAACCCTTAGTCGCACAAAGCATCGGAGGCGCTAGTTTCACCATTGTTATCCGCTTTGTTGTATAGTTAGATAGACATAAAAGGGCGAGGATTACCTGAGTGCGATGCTCAACCCCGTTTGACATCGCGCTCTAGGTAAGTCCTCAACCTTACAGATTGTACATAGTTTACATCTTGCCTAACATCTAAACCCTGTTTGACATCGCGCTCTAGACACTGTGCTCTAGTCTTCCTCCCACTGATTTACAGCTAGGGCCAATGCACCATCATCAACCCTAAGTAAATCAGCATCTATTCAACACTCACAAAAAGGAAAACAGTGTGATCTTTTATCTAACTTTCATGAGCAGACTCACTTTGAGATCTCACAAGCACACCGAGAGTCGGAGCAATTGCATGAGTGGCTATTGACCAGGGAACAGCAGAAGACTCTGCAGGCTACCCATAAGCACCAGCAGGAGATGCTAAACTTGGAAGTTTGCAAATTGGAATTGGAACTACAGTTGACCTCCCATGCAACCCATAACAAGGGCTGCCTGATGTGACAGGTTTGAATGGGGTGGATGGAAATTTCAGCAATGGTCTATAATCACCTTGTATACATGTGACATGCCTTATTAATACAATTCATTGAATAAGGCCTCCTGAATTAGATGGTGCTTCCATTGCCCCTCTGACTCACCTGCAACATGCTGTTGCTGGCCATTCCAATTGTTCTCATCTAACCCATCATCCAGGTTCTCATGTCCATCCAATCCCAAAAATCATCTTCCTTGTCTGCTAGCTCATACTGAGTGGCTATGGAATGAACAATAAGACAAACTCGGACCCATGCAAGAGCTAATGTAAGATCTCTCTCTTGCAGTTGATCTGCTGCCGGAGCCCTTTCAGAGACTGAAACCTGCCTTTGAGGAAGCCAACAGCATGCTCAGAACAGATGCGGACCTAGCATTCAGAGTTGTAACTGGAAAAGTAGTTAAACTTCAGAATCTCACTTACCCATGATAGGTGATAGTTGAATCAACAGTTCTCAGCAACCAGTGAAAGTGGTGCTTTGTATGGTACAATGCACTATGGTGCAAGGCCATAGGCACTGTCAGCCCACAACCATTTGCTGTTGTGGAGAAGCTGATCATGTTCCTTCACCACATGTGACTCATGAAAAGCCGTAGCATCAAGCATACTGCCAGGGGGCCCAAGGACATAATCAATGATCTGGAGGTTGGGAAGAGTGACAAGCTAGCAAAATATACTCAATAAATAAAATAAAAGTTCATCAAGACAGTTACCATAAAACTAAGGGAATAGTTGGACTTCCGGTCAAAAAATTGCTCACCATAATGGCCAAGCTTCGATGCTAGGGGAATCAGTGTCCCATCCACCATACAATATCCAGGTCACCAGGCATGGCATGATACACTTTCCACCCAATCTGATGCTTCATGCTGCTCTTGAGCAGTTGGCCATCGGATAGCTTGATTATGGAGGGGAAGGAATGCATGGATGATGTGGTGAGTTGCATTGACAACAGCACCCTCACTGCAGCCAGCCCACTGTGCAACTTTCCTGACAGATGCAGCATTTCCAAAGTGGCCAAAGTGGCAAAGTGCAATGGCCAGCTGGTGGGAGACAGGGAGTGAAGGAGCATTTGTCTCTGGGTGAAAAATTGGATGGTCTTCAATCAAGGAGAGGAGAGTGTGAAACGTGTGTGGTGATACTTGGAGGTTGTGATGGAAGTGGGTGGAGTCATTAAGTCTGAAGCATTTGAGGACAAGGCCTGAGCTTGCCTTTTCTCAAAGGTGGGTCCGGGCATCTTTTCTTATTCGCCTGGATTGTTTGGGCAGTGTGATTGTGTATTATTGCATCGTGTGCTGCCATTAGGTTTTCCTTTGCCTTTTGAGTGAAGTCGTTCACTCCCGGGTAGTCTGAGGGTGGTGCTGTTAGGCACATCTTTGGCATGTGGCCATAGATTAATTCGAACAGGGCAAATCCTGTTGATGCATTTGAGCTTGCATTGATTGCAAATTCTGCCATCAACAGCTTCACTGCCCAGTCGCGTTGATCTGGTCTGACCATCGTGTGTAGTATCTGTACTCCTTTTTGTATCATTCTTTCTGCTTGGCCATCACCTTGTGGATGGAATGCAGTTGTGAATTTCAACTGCACACCGAGTATTTGGTGTAGTTCGCACCAAAATTTTGATGTGAATTTTGAGTCTTGATCTGATATGATCGAGTGTGGTAGACCATGAAGTCTTACAACTTCGCAAAGGAATACGAACGCTAGTTCTAATGCATTTGTTGTTGTTTTTATCGGAATCAGGTGGATGTTGGATGTCAACCTGCAGATGATTACCCAGAGGTAATCATATCCCAAGCTTGTTGGGAATGGACCTGTGAAGTCCATGGCTATTGATGACCACAGTGTTTCTGGGTCAGGAGTGGGTGAAGCAGTCTGGGATTTCTCCTGGTGCATTTCTTTGTTGTCTGACAAGTTCTGCAAGACCTGCAGAACTTGTGGGTGTCCTTCCTCATCGACTTCCACCAGAAATATCAATGGGGAGTTTCCACTGTTTTCTTGGACCCTAGGTGTCCAAGTGTGTTGTGGATGTTTTTGAGGATTATTCCTCGAATGGACTTCCTTTTGTAGTTCCCTTTCGGGATTACTATTTGGGTTGTCTGTCATATCCATCCCCAGCCATCGACTTCCACTCCCTCCGATCCCTCCGGACTACCTCCACTCCTTCTTCACTAACCTCAGAGCTCCCATATTCCGCAATCACCTCGGTATCCCTTGATGGTCACCACCCCCTCTTTTCAATTTATTACCTACGCCTCCCTAAGTATGGAGCCCCGAAGGCTTCCGGACAGCTCCAATGTCTGCTAGCGCACTCCCACCTCCACTGGGCAATACACTCGCTTGCCCTGCAAGTCCACCTTTGGGCCTATCCCTCCTTTCCATTTCTGGGTTATCGCCTACCATTCCATTAACCCCGTAACCCAACTTGTCGGTAATATTCAATCAGCTAATGTTTAACCCTGTTAGCTCCACTCCACTCAGCTCTGCCATTTGCAGGCCCACCCTCGTTGTAACTATATATACTCAACTTGTACATAGGTTACACCTCAGTAATAAAATCGACGAGAGTCTATCCCCCTTCAGTTCTGGTTGCCAGTTTAGTAAGTTAGGGCACGGACATGTTACTTGGCACAGCGCTCCTGGCATAAGTCGCTGAGGCTGAAGCCCTCCACCATGGAGACATTCCTTCATCTCGACCTGGTCTCTGACACAGACATCCCTATGGGCTTCTTAGGTGGCTGAAGCATAAATGGGTTGTTATTAAAATGAAAAGTTAAACTAGCCTGAAGCAGAAATGAGAAGAAGGCTGCTTCTTTGGTTCTGCTTCAGCTCAGTTTATATACAGGTGAAAATGGGTCATATGGGGGTGCCATATCAGCCTCAGATAGAGCCAAGCTATTGCAGGCAGTTCTGTGGGTGATCCTGAGTATTAGAAAGGAAAGGTACAAGTAAGGATGTGTGGCATGTCTGGTGGCATGGTACCTGTGCAGGGTGCCTGGCATCAGACGTGTCCCTGCTACAGGTGTGAGGAAAGGGGAGTCATCCATATAAAGAAAGAAAGAAGGAAGAGAGAGAGGGGAGTGGCATGCCCTGACATCACCCCCCCCCCCCTAAGCCACTTCACCTTGACGTGGCTAGGGAGTTCTCTCGCTCTCTCCCCAGGGCACCCTGGTGCACTCTGTAGCACTCCTCGATCCAGTCATGCACATTGGCCAGGTTATTGTCATATCCATACAATCCTGACTCCGGGCTCCTGGAACTCCGAAACTGACTCTGGAGCCCTACTTCTTCCCTTCCATCACCTTCTCCTTGCCAACTCCCAAGAGGTTATCCCACCTCCAGCTCCGACACCACCTTCGGTTCAACTCTGGAACATTCTGGGTCCGACCTCAACCTTGACACCTTCCAGATGAGCACACAACACCTATGCCCCCAACTCCGGACCTCTGCTCCGGAATCCCGTTCACATCTCCATCTCCGGAACTTTCGGTTTTAGCTCCAACCTTGGACTTTGACCCCACCTCCACTTATAGTTAGCCCATTCCATTTATTTACCTTTGCCAATATTCTGGAGTTTAACTTCCGAGTTTGGACTTTCCGGACTTACTTCAGACCTTGCAACTATTGCATTGTCCCATTCAATTCCACTATGCTCCCTCATTCCTATTTGGGCTGCTGCTTCCCTTCTATTCAGTCAGCTAGCCATTCCCCACTCCCTTCCTCCTTCCTTCCTCCTTGGGCCTTGGCCCTTCACTCCTCCTTTGGGAAACACCATTGAGTCAGACCCTTGACCCTTGGTGTTGTTCCTCCTTCCAGCTCCCTTTGTCTCCTTTCCCTTTCCTTTTGATTCTGGACCCCTCCTTATATACAATGTGCCTAGTAAATTGTAACCTCAGTCCGAAATCGACTTGATTCCCCCCTAAGAGACTTCCCCTCTGCTAGATCCGAATAGGGACCCCCAGGACAACCAGCAATGGCACAGTGCTCCACCTGAGTCGCTGAGGCCAAGGTCCTTCCACACTAAGTCTCTGATTCCACTCCGGAGTCATCTGAATCCACCCAATCTAACAGTTATCACATGGGAGCCACTCATTCTTAGAGTTTGGCCAGCCTGTAAACTTCACCAAATTGTCAGGGATTGCTCATCAAGTATCACCCAAAAACCTAGTTGTAGACAAAGCTGAGGTTCCAACCCTCAGCGGCACATAGAGCTATATACATGAGTGATATCAATCAATTAGGAGAGACAGGATCAAAGGAACTAAACAATGATCCAATAGGAAACAAAGTGAATAGAAACGAAGGAACACTTGGATTGAAGGGGC